ATAAACCAAAAAACTAAAACTAAACCTTCTTTGAACCAGGAGGTGAGTGGAACCTGAAAGAAGAGTGAGAAGTAGAGAAGAGTAAGAATGAAAACCAAAAGGGCTTCCAAGAGACTTATAGTGGAAACCTGATGGCCCTTGAAGAGGCTTACAGCAAAGGCTTCTAGACAAGTGAAGAAAATGACACTAGAGGGAAAAGGAACTCGTGCCACAAACCACTTGAAAGTAAAACTGATAGAGATAAGCTAAAGAAAGACTATTCAATATGAAGGAACCAGGACTTACTGGGTTCATCTATCTGTTCCTCATTTACAGCCTCTCCACATGCTATATTGTTGAATAACGCTAAAATAAAGAAATGGCTTTTGGGTTAAAAGCAAATCCAGGAAGACATGGCCTATGGATGAAGCCAAAACTATAAACCCTTTATTAAGACTTCAGAAGGATTTAAGGTGTGCCTCAAATTTCTTTAAGGATCTTAAGAGTGTGAGAATTTGAAAGGCATTGTCAAATGAGAGCTTCACAGGAAAACTGAGGTGAAAAGCTTATCTCAAAAAGACTTGGGAGAATGGCTTTTCTAATGGCATGAAATCCAATCATATTCACGGAAAACTCAAAAAACTAAGAGAATTATAGTAGCAAAAACAGTGTTTGTGAGCTTGGACTAAAAGATACCAAGATAGCACAAACTAAAATTAAGCTTTTGAGTTTTAGAAGTCCCACCAGGAGGAAGCAGGCTGAAAAAGCAGCTACAAACACAGGTCATTCCTTATGAAAAGGACAGAACCAAGAGCTCAAAGAGTAAAGCAAACAGCCATGGAGAAGCATTCCGGTGGTTAGGACTAAGTCCTCACTGAAGAACTGACAGCATGCTTCAGGGTGTGTTTCAAAACTGCTATGGACTAGTGTGCCTCCCATCTTCTTTCAACCTTAGCAGGTTACCAGAGTGTTCCATTTTGAGTGGTAGAGAACTGTCTTCCTTCATTCCCAAGTGTTCAGATGGAGAGGACTTGCACTCAAGGGACCATACTTCAGGCACCTTATCCCTGCTGTACCTGATTAAGATGGTTAAGATCTTGGACTCAAGCCTAAACCCAATGCCAGGAGAACTGAGATTTGTGGGAGGTATGGGGGGGAGGTGAGTGTATTTTTCATGTGGGAGGAATACAAAAAATTGAGGCCGGTGGGTAAATCATGTTGCTTTTTAAATGTGTCCATAGGTTTTTAAATATTCATTCCATTAAAAGAAAAAGACCATGGGTCTACCTTTGTGACTTTCTCCTAACAGAATATGGTGAATGTGATGCTCTGCGTATTCCAAGGCCAGGTTACAAAAGACAATAGAGCTTCTGCCTTGCTCTGCAGCTCAGGCAGCTTTCTTGGAATTGAGTCCCCCATCTTGTAAGAAAGTTCAGGCCACAAGGAGTCTAGTGTGCCAGTGTCAGTGTTTCACTGCCTGTCCCAGCTATAGTCCTAGGCAATAGCCACATCAACACCACCAGATGTGAGTGAACAAATCTTCAAACAGTTCCAGCCCCAAGCCTTTCAGCTGCCCCACCTGAAGCTAGGGGAAGAGAACAAGCTGTCCTGGCCACACTTTTCCTAACAGTAGATTTGTGAACAAAATAAATGTTATTTATTTAAGCCACTAAGCTTTGGGGAGTTTGTTAAGAAAAAACAAAAAGATAAACAGAAAAATGGATGACAAAAAGAGTTAATAAGATACATAATTTATATAGTAGAAATTGGTCTCCGTTAAAGTGGGAAGTAATAAATGTTTTTTTTTTTTTCATTTTTAAAAATTTATTCATTTGGGAGAGATACAGAGAGACAGAGCACAAGCAAGGGGAGAGGCAGAGGAGAGGGAGAAGCAGAATCCCTGCTGAGCTGGGAGCCTGACATGGGACTTGATCCCAGGACCTGGAGATCATGACCTGAGCCGAAGGGGGACACTTAACCATCTGAGCCACCCAGGTAACCCTAAGATTAATTTAATAATGACAAACAGTGCTAATGAGAAGAAACCCATAACTAGAGGCAAGATCTAAGAAGTTTTTCTTTCCGTTTCCCCCCATTTAGGATGTCATTACCTGTGTATTTTTTTATATATGACCTTTATTATGTTGAAGTATGTTCCTTCTAAACCTACTTTGTTGAGGGATTTTATCATGAATGGATGTTGTACTTTTTTTTTTTTATCATGAATGGATGTTGTACTTTTTTATCATGAATGGATGTTGCACTTTATTGTCAAATGCTTTTTTTTTTAAAAGATTTTATTTATTTATTTGACAGACAGAGATCACAAGTAGGCAGAGAGGCAGGCAGAGAGAGAGAGGGGGAAGCAGGCTCCCCATCGAGCAGAGAGCCTGATGCGGGGCTAGATCCCAGGACGCCGGAATCACGACCTAAGCCGAAGGCAGAGGATTTAACCCACTGAGCGACCCAGGTGCCCCTCAAATGCTTTTTCTACATCTTTTGAAATGATCAGATGATTCTTCTCCTTTTATTAATTTGGTGTATCACAATGATTGATTTGCAGATATTAAAACACCCCCATAACCTAGGAATAAATCCCATTTGATTGTGGTGATGATTTTTTTAATGTATTGTTGGATTCAGTTTGCGAGTATTTTGTTGAGGATTTTTGCATTAATGTTCACCAAAGATACTGGCTTAGAGTTCTTTTTGTGGAGTCTTTGTCTCCTTTTGGTATCAGGGTAATACTGGCCTCATAGAATGAATTTGGAGTTTTTCCTTCCTTTTCTGTTTTTTGGAATAGTTTGAGAACAGGTACTAACTCTTCCTTTAAATGCTCAGTAGAATTTGCCTCTAGTCCTGGACTTGTGTTTGTTCATAGTTTTTTGATTAATGATTCAATTTCTTTGCTGCTTATCAGTCTACTCAAATTTTCTATTCTTGTTTCAGTTTTGGTAATTTATATGTTTCTACGAATTTATCCATTTCTTCTACATTGTCCAAATTGTTGGCATATAGTTGTTCATAATATTCTTTTATAATTGTCTGCATTTCTGTGGTGTTGGTCGTTATTTCTCTTCTCTCATCTGTGATTTTATTTGGGTCCTTTTTCTCTTCTTTCTGATAACTCTGGCTAAAGCCTTACCAGTTTTATTAATTTTTTCAAAGAACCAGCTCCTGGTTTCATTGATCTCTCCTATTTTTGTCTTTTTAAGTTTCTATAGTGTTTATTTCTGCTCTGATTTTTAAAAAGATTTATTTGAGAGAGAGAGTGGGGAGAGGGTCAAATGGAGAGGGAGTGAGAGAATCCTCAAGTAGACTCCCAGCTGAGTACCGAGCCAGAAGCAGGGCTCAATCCCAGGACTCTGAGATCATGACCTGAGCTGAAATCAAGAGTCTGCTGCTTAACCAAATGAGGTACCCAGGTACCCCTACTTCTGCTCTAATTTTTATTATCGCCTTCCTTCTGCTGAATTTAGGCTTCATTTATTGTTCTTTTTCTAGCTTCTTTAGGTGAAGTTTAGGTTGTTGTAGATTTTTCTTGTTTCTTTAGGTAGGCCTGTATTGCTATATACTTCCCTCTTAGAACTATTTTTACTGTGTCTCAAAAGTTTGGGCAATTGTGTTTTCATTTTCATTTGCTTCCATGTATTTTTAAATTTATTCTTTTATTTCCTCATTGGTCCATTCATTGTTTAGTAGAATGTTACTTAACCAACATGTATTTGTGGTCTTTCAGATTGTTTCTTGTGGCTGACTTCTAATTTAATAGTACTGTGATTAGAAAAGGTGCACGGTATGACTTCAATCTTCTTGTATTTATTAAGACTGGTTTTGTGGGTATTATGGAAGGCACATATTGCATGGAGCACTGGGTGTGGTGCATAAACAATGAATTTTGGAACACTGAAAAAAAAATTAAATTAAAAAAAAAAAGACTTTTTTTGTGGCCTAATACGTGATCTATTCCACAGAATGTTCCAGAATGTAAATTCTGTTGTTTAAGGATGGAATATTTTGAATATATCTCTTTAGTCCATCTAGTCCAGTGCATCATATAAAGCCACTGTTTCCTCGTTGGCTTCCTGACCTGTCCATTGATGTAAGTGGTGTGTTAAAGTACCCAACTATTGATTATTTCTATTCCTTCCTAAAATATCCAAATTGTACATTGTCTTCATGGATACTTTTGTAATTAGAAATAAAAGCAATGAATTTCATTTAAAACATACATAATAAAAATAAAGCACCCTAGTATTATTGTATTATTATCAATTAGTTCTTTTATGTTAATCATTAATTGTTTTATGTACTTGACTGATCCCATGTTGGGTTCATAAATATTTACAATTGATATCTCTTCTTCCTGTCAGATTGTCCTCTTTATTATGATATAGTGCTCTTGTCTCTTACTACACTCTTTCTTTTAGACTCTATTTTGTCCAAAATAAGTATTACTATTCTGGCTTTCTTTTCATATCCATTTGCATGATACATCTTATTTCCATCCCCTGACTTTCAATCTGCAGGTGTCCTTATGACAAAAATAAAACTCTTGCAAATGGCTTATAGATGGGTCTTGTTTCTTTTTCTTCTTCTTCTTTTTAAAATTATTTTTATTTTTTAAATTTTATTTATTTATTATTCTTTTTCAAGTAATTTTTTAATTTTTTATAACCATATAATGTATTTTTATCCCCAGGGGTACAGGTCTGTGAATTGCCAGGTTTACACATTTCACGGCACTCACCATAGCACATACCCTCCCCAATGTCCATAAACCCACCACCCTCTCCCTCCCCCCCTCCCCCCCAGCAACCCTCAGTTTGTTTTGTGAGATTACGAGTCTCTCATGGTTTGTCTCCCTCCTGATCCCATCTTCTTTCATTTATTCTTTTCCTACCCCCCTAACCTCCCACTTTGCATCTCCACTTCCTCATATCAGGGAGATCATATGATAGTTGTCTTTCTCCAATTGACTTATTTCGCTAAGGATAATACCCTCTAGTTCCATCCACCTCATCACAAATGGCAAGATTTCATTTCTTTTGATGGCTGCATAGCATCCCATTGTGTATATATATATATATATATATATATACATATATATATATATATATATATATATATATATATACCACATCTTCTTCATCCATTCATCTGTTGATGGGCATCTATGT